ATAGCATCAGAACTCTAAGCACCTGAGAGAGAGTGGGCACCTCCCAGAACACTGTTTTGTGCCACTCCCAACAGAAATATTCCAGGTGGACAACTTCAGCAATCAGGAGCTCCTCAGTTGCTCATAGAAAATCCCACCTTGGAGTTTACAAAGACTTATGGGTAGAAAAGCCACACTAAGTTATTTACTATACCGCAGGCCACCCCCTGGCTTTTCTAGCCATTATCCCTCTTATACTTCAAAAATTTCACATCCCCTTCACCATCAGTTTAAGAATAACCACACCCATGAAAGTGTGTAAGCCAGCCACTTCATGCCTTTATCTCCCCCCATTTTAAATAGCCAATTTCTAATTTGCCCATCCCTATCAAACCAGTACTCTGAGGAGATAAGCATGGTCCTTTCTCTCTGGAGAATCTTCTGTTCTGCTTGGAAACTTCAGGCACCTGGATCCATAAACAAGCAAAGTCCAGCCCAGCACAAGCCATCAAATTGCAGCAACTTAACATCAGCTGTGTCAATCATCTTCCTCTTCGTTTGGTTGGGTTCTGGTCAGCTTAGCCCTAGCCATCCCAGCTAGGTCATGGGTACCAGCTGCCAAGTTTGGGAGTCACACTCTTCCCTTCACTTCAGACCAGCCAGCACCTTCTCTCACATCTTCAGTCCTCAGGGACTATTTCAATGCCTGTAGACTCACAATTCATTGCACTTCAGACCAGCCAGCCCTTCTTCTCATCCCCAGCCTCTGGGCCTAGGTCAAAGAGTACCAAACTCAGCCTGTTTCTTCTTTGCTGCACTTCCCCCATTTCCACTCAGGTGGATCCAGGTGGTTACAAGCAAGTAACATACAAGTCTACTACTCACTGGCTTCCTTTAACTTTCAGTCCTGGAAGGGGTTTCCCTCATGGACCATGACTTTCCTGCCTTGATTGACCCAAAGCCTGTCTGCTTGCTCGAAATTCAAAAAGCCAAACAGTCATTTTTTTTCTCTTCAGGTCCTCTCTTCAAATGCAAATCTTCCCTTCCCTCAGTAGTACTGGGTGGGGCTCAGGTTTTCTACCTAAGCTCCTAGTATGGGCTCTACACACAGGGCTTGTAAAACAAAAGCCTGTGTTTCTGCTGGGAAAATTCTATTTCCCCTTTTTAACATATCCAATCATGTATTGGCTGAAGGCGGACTTACACGTTCTCTGTTGCCCCCATAACCCATAATCATTTCTAATGTACAAGCAGGTAAGAGAACATTCAATAGCCATTAGTACATTCAGATAAACACATAATCCAAAACACATAATCCTTTTAAAGACATTCCAGGTTCATCTCTTCACCTTGATTACCATCCCATTCTATGTATATGGCCTTGGGCCTTTGGCTGGGTGTAACCAAAAGCCCTAGCCTCTGGATCAATTATCTCCCTTAAGAGGTAACAGCAAACAAAGTAACCATCTAAGAATCCAAAGTTTCACTTCCCAGGCCCCTTCCTTCTTTCTTTTACAAAGTCTGGTGCTTCTATGAGTCTGGAGTCACTGGAACGAACCCCACTTCTGACACCAACTGCTAAAACAGCAAGGAGGCCACATGTTCTGACCTCCTCTAA